CAAACACGGGGGGCGTACGCTTGTTTTTCCAACCACACTGAAAGTGAAAGGCAATTTGATGGTGTCAAAAGGGACGCGCCAACCAAACAAGGTGAATGTAGCTCTTGCAGAAGGCGCCATCCCATATTGTATTGCCGCAAACCAAGTACGAACAAGGGCGCACTTTTTCCCCATGCAATTCGGTATCTTTCTGTCGGGGTAGTTTTGGGAAGGGTGTGCAGCTACTAGTTGCAACTGTTTTGCATTTATAGAAGCGCGTTCAATGAAATTCGCCGGGAACAGCGGTCTTTTAGCATCATGTGGGCCAAAGGAGACCCCAAGCGGTCCCAGGAATGGGACATATCAGACTCTGGGTGTGTCCTTTTTTGAGGTACCCGTCTGAGGTTTGTTTTAAAGGGCAAAGGGAAAAACCAACAGCGTGTCAAGGGCTCTACTGTGGATGGCCGACTTCCTGCGCCACTTTGAATCCATGGTTGAAACCAGTGTTGGTTGGAATTTATAGGGGAGTCGAATCATGCCAGGGTGTCCGGTCCCCTACAAAAATCGACTACAGAAAAAAATTGGGTACCCTTATTCTAAACTTTCTGCTGGACGACCTAGCCAAGGAGTCGCCCTTGAGACGTTCTGCCCAGCAGAACGAGTGGGAATGAACCGCGGCTCAGGGCTCCGCCAGCCTGGTGCAAAACGGCGGCGTCGCCGCGCTGCTGCCGGCAGGGCTGGGCGGTGGCAACTCCATGGGCATCATGGGCATGGGCCAAACCAGCGCCCTGTCGCACGGATTTCGGCGGCGACGAAAAACAATTGTTCAACTCAAAGCCCCAAGGTTTGGGTTTGTCAACGGTTTGTCACGTTTCTTCTTCTTTTCTTATTCTGTTTGTTGGTGGAGTGTCTGTTTTGTCTTGCTTTGCTTGTGTCCCAATTGTTTGACGGATTTTACTGCTTTGGTTTCGGCTCCGGGGTTTGTTTGACTGCATCAGCCAACAGCTTGGTTGTTTCCGAGCGCTTTGGGTAAGTGAGACGTGCAAGTGAGACACTTGCTGGTGCTCAGAAGGGCATGCGGGAATGCCCCTTGTAACCATCCCTTGTGGTTTCGGGTTCATTCCCGCATTCTCTGCTAAGCACCAGCAAGTAAAGGTCTTCGCTGTGCCAAGGTGTGGTAGTCACTGTGACGGTCCTCTCGAATTCCAGCACTCTCACGGGCGGCCAAACCTCTGAGGGGCGAACGCGTTTGGTCGCAGACGCGGTGGACGTGTCACTGTTCCAGGTGGGGTGACCAAAATGAGGCCTTTGGGTTCTCAAAGGGTTTCTCGCGGACTGAAGCTTCAGGATGGTTCCTTTCACAGGGGTGCCGTTAGGATTCACCCAGAAATTTTGAAAGGGCGACGGGCCGTGAAACCAGACCCACTTCTTGTTTTTACACAAATCGAGATCCCAACATGAAAGCAGCATATGAAACCAATCGTGACGATCCGTCCCAACAAAGGCACGCTTTGAGGGAATGTTGGATGGCACCAAATCAGGCAAACCGAGAGGAAACCAATGAGCGTTTCGTGGAAGGTCCCAGTCTTTTCATGTGACTTCCCAACCTTTTGCGTAGCTGGATTTATTTGACACCAGGTTTGGATTGTGACTCCTTTGAAGGAGTTCCCCGACCTTTGAAAGAAACCAGATACATGAAATTTTGCAGACGATTAGCCAAAGTCTTTCTTTTTGGATGGGTCTTTGGCTCAATTTGTGTGTTAAATGCTTGTGGAACTTCCTGTAGAATACCTGTACCTGGTTGTTCAACATTACCCTTTCTGTGATACCAAGATGTTGATTACCATGACGATTGTAGGTCCTCCCCAAAACCATGGACCAGCGATATGATCATTGGTGTTTCTCACCAAAAATGGGCTTAAATTAGCAATGTCCTGTTTGTTTCCCTCCAACCACGTACCTGCATTTACCTTAATGTTTCCTGAAAGGGCGTCCCTTTCTTTGCCATCCAAAAAGGGCTCAGAACTCCCCAGTTTGAGAAGAGATCTCGGTGCATGAACTATACAAACAGATCACTCAGAGGGTCCCTTTCTGTCAAATTCATGTCCTGTGTCCTGAAAGGGCGTCCGGCTTTTGCGGATGCGTTTCCTTTGGGCTCCGAGCTCCCCATTCCGAGCAGCCCCCTGGCGTTCGGCTCGAAGGGCGCGCCCGAGTTTCAGGTGAGCCGGGGCATTGCCACCCACCTCAGCGTAGAAGATGTGGAGCCCATCTATCTGCGGCTCGCGCAGGTGGAGCCCAAGGCCGACGGGACGCCCAAAAAACAGGGAACTGGTTGGAGTCTTCTTAAAAAATGGGTCAATGACAATGGTTTTGGGTAATGACCCCCATTTTTTGAGGGTCATGCAGACTCACGGTGGTTGGCCAGTGGGAACTTCTTCTTTTTTTTCTAGGGGAAACCTGCCCCCTCCCCTTGCACCACCCAACCCAACCCTAGCAATGCCTGAAGCATGTGTCCGCACTTCCCACCCCAGCCTTTCCCCAACCCCCCCCAACTCTCCCCCCCAACCCGAACCCCCTTCCCCAACCCCCAACCCAACCCAACCCCAGGACACCTTCCACTGCGCCTTTCTGGACGGCGACGTGTGGCGCTCAGAGGGCGTGCACCTCGCCAATGCCACGGAGGTGGCGGACTACTTCCGAGCCAACGGGGTGGAGATGGAGCCCACCGGCGTGCCCTGCTTTTGGTCGTCAGTCCACCCAACCCCCCCCCCCCCCCCCGTTAAAAGCTTTTTCCCCGTGTTGCATTGTATCTTGTGGGCTTTTTTGTTGATGTGCTGTTTTTGCTGTTACTGACTTGTTGCTTGTGTTTGTGTGCTTTGGCTTTCTGGTTGTTCCTCTTATTCTTCTCAACCCCTTCACCCTTTGCCCCCCTTCCGCTCTCTTTGCTTTCCCCTCTAAGGCTCTTTCGACCTTCTGTCCTTGTGCTCCTTCTTCATGTTTGCCATAATGTTTAAGTGTTTGTTTCTGCCTGTTGGTTTTCCAAATTGTCAGGATTTGGTCGGCTCCTTGGTCCACCTCCTCCCGCATATGTTCCGTTGACTTTCTGGCCATTGGGAGTTGTGTTCACAGTCTTTGGGGTGATGCCTGTTTGCACGCCCCTTGCATACACATGCGCGTATGCATACTGTTGATGAAATAATTCTTGCAATGATTGTATAAGACTACATGTTTGCCACCCCGCGCCCCCTACTAAACATTGAGCGGTGACGGCCAAAACCGCTCACAGGTTGTCAATGACCCAAATCTTGCTTAACCCATCCAACTTGGCCAAACTGAGAACCAATGTTAAGTAGGGGGCGCGGGGCGAGTCGTACCAAGATGGCATGGATTTGTTTCAAACATCATGCAAGATTTCTTCCTTCCACCGTATGTCTATATACACCTAGACATAGCGGCTCCTTGTTCCCCGGTACTTGGTAATGTTTCCTCTCAACGGTCAACGGTTTTTCCAACAGATCTATTAACCACCCAGTGGCAAAAGTGAAACCCTTGCGGCAGTCCTGGAGACCAACCCAGTTGCTTCCTACGGAATTTTAGTTCATAAGGTTGTGCTAAAACAAAGCAGGTGCAAACCAGGTTTGAAGTTTTTTGATTGCCGGGCGTCCATTGAAATTCACTGACCCTGCAAAAAGGCTCTGGATGTTTGTGCGAACTCTCCAAACAGATTGGATATAAATGCAGTGCGACGGGTCCGTTACTGTTCAATTTCCAATGGTGTGTTTTGAGTCATACCCTCAGTCATCCTTGCGATTTGTTTGTCACAAATCCCATCATCCGATATCAAGCCTACTGCTGGACGATGGTTTGTCCCACTAGGTTTCATCCATGCCTGGTGCTGGGTTTTGTCCATCCATAGTACCGGGGTCTCCTCCAAACCTATGTTCCATTTTGCGGCAAGCCAACTATTCATATGGAGCAGAGCCCGGACATATGATCTTCTGTATGCCCCGGATGTGGGCCAAGAGCGTGTCTTTGTCGGCTCAAGGTTTGGTGTGCCACTACGCACCTCTCCATCTTTGGAGTCCTGGAGGAGCCAAGCTGCCTAACCAAAACTGGGTTGGTTGGCTGCTTCGGTTGGTTGGTCGGTTGGCTGCTTCGGTCGGTTGGCTGCTTCGGTTGGTTGGTCGGTTGGCTGCTTCGGTCGGTTGGCTGCTTCGGTTGGTTGGTCGGTTGGCTGCTTCGGTCGGTTGGCTGCTTCGGTTGGCTTGGTCGGTTGGCTGCTTCGGTCGGTTGGCTGGCTTGGCTGGGTCGGTTGGCTGCTTCGGTTGGTTGGTCGGTTGGCTGCTTCGGTCGGTTGGCTGCTTCGGTTGGTTGGTCGGTTGGCTGCTTCGGTCGGTTGGCTGCTTCGGTTGGTTGGTCGGTTGGCTGCTTCGGTCGGTTGGCTGCTTCGGTTGGTTGGTCGGTTGGCTGCTTCGGTCGGTTGGCTGCTTCGGTTGGTTGGTTGGTCGGTTGGCTGCTTCGGTCGGTTGGCTGCTTCGGTTGGTTGGTCGGTTGGCTGCTTCGGTCGGTTGGCTGCTTCGGTTGGTTGGTCGGTTGGCTGCTTCGGTCGGTTGGCTGCTTCGGTTGGTTGGTCGGTTGGCTGCTTCGGTCGGTTGGCTGCTTCGGTTGGTTGGTCGGTTGGCTGCTTCGGTCGGTTGGCTGCTTCGGTTGGTTGGTCGGTTGGCTGCTTCGGTTGGTTGGTCGGTTGGCTGCTTCGGTCGGTTGGCTGCTTCGGTTGGTTGGTCGGTTGGCTGCTTCGGTCGGTTGGCTGCTTCGGTTGGTGCTGGTCGGTTGGCTGCTTCGGTCGGTTGGCTGCTTCGGTTGGTTGGTCGGTTGGCTGCTTCGGTCGGTTGGCTGCTTCGGTTGGTTGGTCGGTTGGCTGCTTCGGTCGGTTGGCTGCTTCGGTTGGTTGGTCGGTTGGCTGCTTCGGTCGGTTGGCTGCTTCGGTTGGTTGGTCGGTTGGCTGCTTCGGTCGGTTGGCT